AATGAATCCATGATTGAATCAGGGCAAACACTAAATCTATGGAAAAAAACAGCTCTTCCACCCCAAGCCTGCTCCTTCTCTTGATTACATTCACCACTGGGCAAATGGCATTCTCCAGCCACCTACTTTTCTCCCTCAAGCCAACATCTAATTTATTAGCAGGTTCTTCTGGTGTTCCCTCCAGATCTGTCCTCACTTACCATCCCCACAACCAGCGGCTTAACATAAGCCACCTATGGCAACAGCCAAATGCCACCGTAAATTCCCAGTGTTTAAGATTAGAGGCCAGTTCACCATATCCCACGCCTACCCAACCTCTAGCCATCCCACCTGACCTTCTGCTTCTCTCAAAGCCAACTCCTTCCTGTAGGACTTTCATTCATATTTTTCTTTCAGTCTAGAATGGACTCTCTTCTCACCCCTTCTTTTCTACCTTTATGTGGACAACTCCAACCATCCTTCAAATTCCATTTTACTTTATCTCTTTTTTAATCAACAAATAATTAATGTATAGATACATAGGGTACGGTGTGCTATTTCCATGCACACACAATGTGCAAGGATCAGAGCAGGGTAACTGGCATATCCATCAACTCAAACTCTTATCATTGCTTTGGGCTGGGAAGACTAGCCATTTTGAAATACACGATTTAAATGTTGTCCCCCATGGCTGACCTACTGTGCCACAGAACATCAGAAGTTATTCCAGCTTTCCAAATACAACCCTGTACCCATTAGCAGCCTCTCTTAAATATCATTTTCTCATGGAGCCATCTGAGCCCATCATCCCCACCCAAATTCTCAGTCTTTTCAAAAGAGCTCTGTATTCTTTCTTGGCACCTGATCCATACAGCTAAGGGCTACCATGCTTGTACCAGCTGTAGCATCCAGCAGAGTCCCTTAGTACATTCCAGGTTCAGGTAAACGCAGGGAAATACAACCCAGGTCAAGTAACCGATCAAAACCTCACATGTATTTGACAAAAAAGAGAATGTGCTTTCAAGGTAGGTTTCTAATAACCACCAGTGGGCTCCCCTGAACTCTACAGAAACAAAACCCAAAGGCTCTTTATGTCCTGAGCTTACTTGGAAACGCTCAGCACAGACGGCATAGCTCCTGTCTGATATCCTAGTCATCATGCTATATTTCATAAGTTTTCTGCTCTCTTTCAGCATTTAAGCAATACAACAAAAACATGTGCACCACCACCACTGTCTGGAGGGCTTTCTTCCTCAGGATTCAGTCCGCTTTCTCATCTCGCACTTCGATGCTCATTACACAACAAAACACACAAGACGAGAAACACTAGAAATCCACCCCAAGGTAAAATTCCACACCGACTTCAAAAGGAAACCCCCAAGATAAAATTGTAAAAACTTTTGAAGCCTTTTGCTAGTTTGTTAGATATATATTATACCAAAATACCACCATTTTTGGTCCAGGATCTTTTTTTTGCCGGGTACAAAGGAAGTTAAATGAAAGTCTTTGTATAGCAAAGACACCTGGGGTGGTATCCAGGGAGCAGCTCCTAACCCACAGCTTACCAGCCGCTGGAGGCAGTCAGCCAGGACGCATGCAAACACTACCACTTTGCACAGCCCAGCAGCTTGGCCCTTGTTTTGTGAGAGGGAAAAAGCAAAAATTACAAATACAGATTTCAAAGTAAGGCAGAGGAAGAAAAATTAGCTAGTTGTACAAATGAGAAAGCAGGATTGGGGAGAGAGCAAAGTCTTGGGCTGTGTGGCTAGTATCTTTGAGACTTTAAGAAGTTAATAAATTTCTGGGAAAGAAGGGGAAAAAAACAACTGATTCTTTCCTTGGGTAACTGCTTGTGTTTTTGGTCAGTCAATCAAGACAACTCTAGGAAAGACTTCTTCTCTCCTCCAAACACACGAGGAGTCATCGGATTATAACCTACAGAATGTTCTATCAGCTAGAGGAACTAAAATCTGTGGGGTTTATTTCTTGATTTAATTATTGGATAGAACTGTGAACGTAACTCAGTGACAGAATGCTTGTCCGGAATGCTCAAGGGCCTGGGTTCCATCCCCAGCACCAGAAAATGAATGAATGAATGAATGAGTGGATGAATGAACGAATGAACACATAATACTGGATAAAATGAATTCCACTTAAGAACACTTATTCCACACACCAATATTTTTGTAATGTGGTAACCCACGTACCACATGAAAAAAAAAATCCAATCAGATTAAAATATTCCAACAAAATGCTTTCAGATTCTCCCACAAATGGGTACTGGAGAAATTTCTTTTGTTTGCAATCTGGGATAGCTGTAGTCGCTAGTGATTACCAACAAAGGCTGAACACTTCTCTATTTTCAAAGTGAAACATTGGAAATAATTATGAAACAGCTTGGCCCACATGTTAAAATAAATCCAGATTTCAGAGAAATTAGGAAGCAATCCTTAGAAGATTATTTTGAAACATGTCTGGTGATGTACTGTGATCTGACAAGATTTTGTTTAACAGAATAAAAAGCAAAGTGAGAGGAAAAGCCCCAAGTATGTGGAGAAAAATTGGGCCACTCTTGGCCAAATTTAAACATAAACCAGACCTTCTGGCCAATGTGAAACTGCACAAAGACCCAAGTGATGGATGAGCCATACTTCAGAATGCTCCCTTTACAAACAGACTCTTAGTACCTGCCACAGTATGGTTGGTTTTGGTTGACACACTACCCATGTCCAGTGAAATGGTAATTAAGCATTTCCCAAATGTGGTCTCCTTCTGCCCAAACATAAGGTCTTTCTTTTCTCCACAGCTCCCAGGACCCACCCTCTTCCACTAGCCCATAACCTCTACACAACGACTAATCCTCAGGTCCAGATCACATGACAGTTGTGAGCTGTGGCTCCTTTACACACAAGTCCCTATCTCAAACGTGATGTGTGTGCTCCCAAATGGTTGCTATGGTAACTGTGCCTTCTGTTAACAGCAAAGGAAAAAAGGAACCCAAGTTCCTACTCTCTCCCTTTGCCAAAATCCACACTGGCACTGGAAAGAATGTTTTACCATCTCCTCCAGATCATTAATTTCCACTAGGGAAACTAGACTGTTAGGATCCAGGTTGTAACAACTATGCTTATGGGATTTGGGAGGACAAGAGGTGGAAAATCATTACCTCTCTCCAGACAACTCCTCACCCTTGTATCAGAATTACACTCACCACAGGTATGACCCATAGATCCTATGCCACAACCATGAGGGACCCACACTGAATCACTTGTAGGGTTTACTCCTCTCCACACTCAGAGAGAAAAGGCCTCCAACAGATTACATTCTTTCTCTGTCACTAAAATATGTGGGGAAATCTCACATACCACATCAAAAAGGAGACAAACAAATTTCAAAGCTTAGACCCACACTGGGAAATCCAGGGAGGCAGGAAAAGTGAAGTGAGGTTGGCTTCCTCACTTCACCCTCTAAAACTCTAAAACTGTCCCACTTGTGTTTAAATCTCTGTATGTTAAGATCTTTTAACATGGCATTCAATTTCTAAAAGAACCTTTATCAGCATCCCAAGTCAACAAAGTTCATTACCCTTTCGTCACGGTTCCTGATGATGATTGCACTTATAGTAAGCAAAACAGAGTCAGCCACAAAAATTACTTTTACCTCTCACAGAAAAGAATATGCCACAAGGCCCCAGAAGAGACCAGAGAACAGGATCCAATTCTCATTGTGGCTACTACCTCAGTGTGTGACATTGGGCAATTCACTTAAGGCATCTCTGGGCCTCAGTTTCCTTTTCTGAGATCAGGTTGGGCCTAAAATGATCTAAGGACATCACCTCTAGCCCTGAAGTCTTGATGTTCCCAGAGCATCCATAATTACAAGCATCCATTTAATTATGGAGTTGCAAGGAAGGAAGGCCCTTCTAGCAAAGGTAGCCTTCTTTCTACAAGCCTTATTTATACCATAAGTTAAGACATTTTCACAAATCATGTCTCAAAATGGGGTTTTACAGAAAGGAATCATTTTGTGACATACACACATACAACCAAGGCAGAGCTCATTAAATAATATATACTCAATTACAGCAAGCTACCAAATAAGGAGGCCTGAAATTTGACACAATGCGTCTTGAGATTTCTTAACTTAAGAAAGTTATTTTGCAATTTTTAGAAATTGCAAGTAATATAGTAGCAAATATACTAATGGGTAACATTTTGTGAAACTTAAATAAAAAATACATGAGTTGTTTCATGCTTTGGTAATTCTACCTGTCACGGATTCATTATAAAAATATGTCTTTCATTAATTATTTCAAAAGTATGAAGTCCGGCTCATGATAGAAATACATACAAGGGAATGAATATTCTAACAGGGCTGAGCTATCTTCTCAAGAGGTTAATTTATAAACTTTCAGAGCCTACAAAAACCTAAGAAAGTACATTAAAAATATATGTCAACACACACTTCATGTTGTAGGCTCTTAGTACTGAAAACAAACGTTCTCTAAGTTAAACCCATACCCTTCCAAAGCTATAGATACATAGGTCAAATTTAATTCCAGACTTTCTAAATTCATTTCTACTCTAGGCTTATCGTCAGCCAGCTCAGATGAAATTTTCTGTTAGTATAAAATGTTACTTTCCAACATGAGGATAAAGGAGGGGGGAAGACTGTAAAGTCTTAAACCCAGGATTCCCTGATTCTAATTCCTTCCTCTCTACTACACTCCCCCTAATTGCATTTTTTTAAGTTGCTTTGATAGCATTTCTAGTTTCCCCTAAACCATGGAGATTGTGTCCTATTAAGGTTGTGTCCACAAGGTTAGATTCTGTCCCTAACACAGAGAAAAAGGTAGAGGGAAGACTCAGAAAGTTTCCAATCACTAAGGTCCAATCACAGAAAATGAATAGCTTATAGACATAAACCATATCCAAAAATATTCCAAGAAAGAAAAACTGACAAGCAAGGCCTGTTATCATCAGAAGGGCACAGGATCAACTGTCTTTGGGAGGTTTACTTACGACAATGTGCGCTGGCGATGGTGAGCGGGCATCTTTGAGGGCTTGTCTGCTCTGGAGGCTCCCTGCCTGGACATCAAGTAGTGGCCATTTCATCTGAAGATACTGGAAAACCAGAAACAATCCATTCAGCGAAGAAATCCAAAACCCCTCACCCAGGAGATAACTGACATGCCTCAGAAACTGGTGAAGTGAAAAGCAGGCAAATAATGACAATGAAAGAAAAATCATGCACTATCACTAACGTCTTCCTTCGAGTTCAAAGTTCAAACACAGAACATTAACGTTACCATCAACTGTGTCCTGGATAAAATGGGCTGCTTAATACTAACCTTATTCAGAGAGGAACAGTGAGGGGGTAAAGAGGTGGCGGGAAGAAAGCAGGGAACAGAGCAATTCCGGAGGTAGAAAGCAGACATAAATCTCAAGCCAGAAGTGCCCTGAAGAGACCATCAATTCCACACCTATTCAGTCAGTGGCCTTCGTCTTTAAATGCCATTACTCTTCACTTTTATTTATTTTATTTTTAGCAGTACTGCAATCTAAACTCGGGGCTTCGCACTTACCAGGCAGGCGCTCTACCACTTGGGGCATATCCTCAGCCTTTTTGGCTTTATTTTTCAGATAGTTTCACGATTTTGCCCAGGATGATCTCAGCCCATAATTCTGCCACCTATGACTCTTGTACAGCTGGAGTTACAGAGGTGACCCACCATGCCTTGCTTATTTATTGATATGGGGTCTCATTAACAATTGCCCAGGCTGACTTTTAACCACGATCCTCCCTCTCTCTGCCTCCCCTGTAGCTCCTTTGCTTTAAAGGAAGCTGAGTACCTACGGACAACTGCCTTTGTGTAGTAGAAACTGGTAGTAAGGCAAGTATGGAATTCCTCAACCAATCCAAAAGCTTATCAGGCAAAAAATTTCTTGGCAACAGTTGCACACCCAGGGCACAGTGCAATTTATAGAGCCATTTCAAAAGACCAGAGAAATTCTTAAACACAAACACACAGATTTAGCCCTGAAATGAAAATAAGGTATGAGCCAAATATGTCTCTCCCTACCTTTATCTGAGGTAGGAAATTAATCCATGGCACAAGCAAGCTACTTCTGGAGAAAGTGACATACCAGCTGTAGGAGGGATTGAAGAGATCAACTAATCCAACTCCTTGTTTGGCTTGGCAGATAAGAGAAACTGAGGTGAGGTGGCTTGTCAGTCCCAGAGGTATTTAGCACACCCTAAGCAACTCTCTGGCATTTGACTTCTGCTGGTAACAGTTTTACTCAGGAAAACTTCAGACAACTGAACAAAATTAGACACAATGCCTATAAGACATCCAGAAGGTTCCAAAAGCCAATTGATTTATGCATCAGTTAATGCTCACAGAACATGTACAAACTTCCTTGATCGCTTCAGAGGCTCAAAGCAAAATTACTAGTTTTAACATTCATTCTACAGAAACTTGTATTCAATAAACAAAGATGAAAACTTGATTTGTGTCCAGCCTTCCTGCTAAGCATATGGAGATACAAAAGATGTCTGCCAAGGCATCTGTCTTGTAAGTCAAGACAAAATATGGAGGAGCTATGTCCAGGCAAAGCCAAGAAATAAGGTAGAATTTCTGAAGACTACTGCACAGAGTCGATCTGGATAAGTCAGAAAGAGTCGATGGAGAGAAAAAAAGAGCAGCAAAGAATAGTTCAGAAAGAAAGGTTTACACAAATCCCAGGAGAGACAGAAGGGCCAAAGCCATCCCCGCAGCCAGTCCATGGTTCCTCTAAGATATACCTGCTCAGCAAATTAAAACCACACTCAGTTATCCCTCTTGCTGCACGATCCACACCCATGGGCTACTCGGATTTCTCCAAGCTATATCTATACAAGGCAGACGTAAGCGCTTTTACCAAGAAGCCCCCTGTGGGGAAGAAACCTGATTATTGGTTGGGGCTCTGTAGGTAACTCTGCAAGACCATACACCAAATCCCTTTGTATCTACACATCTCCATTTCCCTCTGAAATGTGAAGGGGTCCATCAATCTGTGATAGAGGAGTGGGTGAGAGTCGGCCCTAAACACTGAAGGACTTCAAGGATTCTAGGCCCCAGACAGTGAATCCCAGCAGGCACCTCCCAGACATCCTTACAATCAAACCATTTCCAAATACAGTCTTTGGGGCCAGTATCACCCTAAGTCAGAAACCACTGAAACAAATGCTCTTGAGGTCTCTTCAGCCCTGTAACCCAAGCCAGAGGACTCTGGGAATCTATTTCATCCCTTCTCACCCTGTCTTCTTCCCATTCTCTCTTGCCACATAACTACAGGGGCCACATTGGTCAAAACCACTCAATAGAGTCATTTCCTTGAGGGTGACCAAAATGGACACCAGCCAACACTCACCTCTCTATCTCACAAAATCCTGCAAACAAAAATGCCAAGTCAAGTAGACACACTCATGCCTCCTGCAGTGCTGCATAGGGAGCGTTCCGTGAGTGGGCACATTTTCATCCTCTGTCCTCTGCAAAACTTATTTGATCACATCCTAATGTCAGCTCCATAGAATTAGGAAGTTTCAGCTTAGTTTAGGGTGACAGCCCTGTCCTGAGGACTCCACTCAAAAACTGTCGTACCCCTAATGCAACAGTAACACAGACACTTCTAATTGTGAGTTGACATAAAAGCTTCATTGTGAGCCTTATCCCGGCTCCATAGGCTACCTGCACACGTATCTTTATGAGACTACATTTCAGCGCTCCAAGCCCACAATACACATAATTTTCAATTCTGTTAGGGCAGCCCAGGATCACTGCCTATATAACATTACTGGTTGGAGGAAATGAGACTCAGCCCTGCTGCCCAGAGAGAGCTAACCAAATCCAGATGGTGGAAGAAGACAGCCCCAGCCCCAGCCCCAGCCCCAGCCCCGCAGACGGGCAGGAACTCTGCAATGGCAGCCCCCCACAGGACAGCTGGGTACCCACAAATCCTTGTCCACCCCTTGACTAGTAACTGGCATTCTGGTGGATGGGGTTCCTTTTGGGGAAGTTAAGTAGTATGTTGGGATTTTTTTTTTTAAGGAAGTTATTAACCTCCTCCAAAAGTGATGTTTCCAGCTTCCTTCATCTTCTACAATTGGTCCTTATTAATAGGGGAAAAAAAATAAAGGGAAGAAAAAGGAAATTAGGTATTATTACAGCCTAGAGGAAAATCTTTTCCTTCCTGGAGACATTAAGAGGCAGGAAATTCTATTCTGTTGGGTCCTAAAGAAAGACCTGAAAGAGGAGGTATCTCAGATTTACAAGGGGTTGGGACACCATGCCACATTTTCCCAACTGCTCACTTTCAGTTTTATACCCTTTGGGGGAAGGGGGAAAAAAAAGTTCCCACCCTCCCACTATGAAAACAATGCTGGGGTCTCCTCCTCTCAGGCTGCTCAAGGTGGAAATTATGAATTGCCTACAAAAACATTAAGCTTTTCAACAAACGGCAATCAAACCGGGCTGTGGGAATTCCTACATTTAAAACTGTTGAAATGGAGTCTGCTCGACTTTCATTTTGTTCAAAAAGAAAAAAGGGGCGGGGGGAGTTCTTAGCTTAAGCAGTTCGTCTTTTGTTTAATAATGACATTCTGATCATGACCCACTGGGGTTTTCCTCCCCAAATCCTATTTTATGATGTCTCTGGAAGCTTAGGTTGAGCTTTGGACCTGTGAGCAAAGTCTCAAGGTGTATATTCAACAGCGAACGCCTGAAAGGAATCAAAGCAGCTGAAAAGTCTGCTAAACTGTTAGCAAAATGAAAAAGGGAAGCAGTTTTCATTTTGTCCCCTCTTCTATCTCCCCCAATAAAAGGGGAAAGGAAAGGTGGATGAGGAAGACCTCCCATCAGAATGTGTCTTTGGAAAGCCACTTTAACAGCCATCAGCACCAACTCAAGCTGTCCTGACAGAAGGCTGCTCTACACACCACCTGTGTCCTCCAGGGTCCAGCATCAGTAGACCCACCACCTTAGACTGCTGATGAGGGCTCTGTGCACAGTTCTTTCCTAAACAAACATGAGAATTCAAAGGACAATGATGGTGTTGATGGTGTCAATGATGACAAAGTTGCGGGAAGCTGGGCGTGGTAGGACACACCTGTAATCCCAACTACTGGGGAGGGGGGAGGTAAGAGGATCATGGTCTGAGGCTAGCCTTGAGGGGAAAAGTTAGTGAGATCCTATCTCAAAAACAGTGATGGTACATAGCTATAATCCCAGCTACTTAGGAAGCAGAGTTAGGAGGAATCGACCCAGGCAAAAAGCGTAAGACCCTTTCTAAAAAAAAAAAAAACGAAGGCAAAAAGGACTGGCTGTGTAGCCTAACTGGTAGAGCACTTGCCTAGCAAGTGCAAGGTCCTGAATTCAAACTCTACTACCACCAAAAACAAAACACAAAAGTTGCCAGGAAAACTCACGTCCTTAGATTAAACATCAGCGAGGTTTCCCAGCACTCTCTCATTTACCCCACCCCACAGATGGACAGACAAGTGGAAACTGTCCCCTTTATTTGTTCAGGGCAGGGTTGGCAAACTTTTTCTGTAAAGCACTAGATAACAAATTATCTTAGGCTCAGCAGCCACACCATCTCTGTTGTGACTATTCAACTTGCCCTGGCAACATGAAAGCAGCCTTAGGCAAGGTATGTATGCATTATGGCTGTGTTCCAATAAATCTTCTTTAAGGATGCTGAAATCTGAATTTCATATTAATTTTCCTGTTGGGAAATAGTATTCTTCTCTTGATTTCTTCAGCCATTTAAAAATAGTAAGTCATTTTTCATTTTTACAGGCCATATAAAAACAGGTTTCAAGACAGTTTGGGCCTGTGGATGACAACAGTTGGTCATCTCTGGCTTGGGGAATAAATATGTAAGGACTTCCAAAGTCGTATCAGATAGGACACTGTCCCTGGTTGGGTCTTCTGTCCAGACAGTCAAACACAGGCATGTAGCAAAGTGTGGTCAGTGACCTCAAAGCAGTATTTTGGATTTAATCGTTACCGGCAGACTTAAATTTGGGGGCAAAAGCTTAGAAAAGAATCTGAGCCCTCTAGCCAAGGTGCCCAGTCACA